TTTGAGCCTTAGACAAGGCAGGATACAGCAGAGTGAAACAAAGCCACTTACTTCATGGCGGTAAGAAATCATAAAGAAGAATGGGCTGGGATCTCAATGCCCCCCCCCCCAAAGAATGCCCCAGTGATGTAACTGCCTTCCACTAGGCCCTACCTTCTGAAGACCCCACCAACTCCTGGTAGCACCACAGACAGAGCCTTTAGCATGATCCATTGTTCGATTTACTGTTGCTGTGATAGAACACCATGGCCTCACACAACTTCTGGAGAGGAGTTAATCCCCCCCCCCCCCATCCGTTACCGTCTATAGTCAGGGGAAGTGGAAACAGGAACTCAGGGCAGAAACCTGGAGACAGGAACTGAAGCAGAAGCCATGGAGGAACACTGCTTACTGGCTTGCTCCTTGTGGTCTGCTAAGCTGCTTTCTTATATCACCCAGGAAAACCAGCGCAGGGGTGGTACCACCCCCATAGGCTGGGCCCTCCTCTGGCAACTAGCTATCAAGAAAATGCCCCCCACACTCACCTACAGGCAATTTGATGGAGGTATCCTCCCAGTGAAGGTTTCTCTTCCCAGGTAACTCTGGCTTTTATCAAGCTGACAGAAAGCCAGGCGAGATACGTGGTTTTTGGGGGAACACGTTAAGACTTACACCGTGACAATCTGCCTTGTGGGCACAGGAGCAACATTCTTTTAAGAGACTGCATACCGAAAGGAAAACTCCACTGGAATTAATAACTGAGATAACTTGCTGGCTGTCAGAGCTTAGACTCTGGATGGAGATTCCTTCTGTTGCTATGTAAAGTAACAATTGTAGAGTCTGGCAATTTCTCAAGTGCATAAGCAAGGGCACACTCAAGAACAGCCTTTGTTACTTCTGATTTTATGTGTTCGTTGTTTCTCTTGTGAAAATAAGTACAAACCACAAATCGGATGTTAGATTCATTTTCTTTCTTCCCATCTCCTTATTTTTAGGAATAAGGGGTTTATGAATATTCAAATGATAGTCAAGGAAGTTTAAAAAAGCCTTAGAAATGAACCAAATCACATGGTTGATTGCTGAATATTTATGACCTGATTATGATAATGAGTTTATATTAACACTAACCAAAATACATGTTTAAGAGTTTAGAATTTGCATAAAATATTTATGGCGTCACATTTCCAGTTTTCAGTTTCTGTTTATGGACTGCCCTACAACTCCCCAAACAGAACCACGGTCTCTACATCATGGACCTTAAACTCCAGTGTTTTTCTAAAATTAATGTTATTTAATTCTAATGTTAAATGGTGAGACAAGATACATATGCATGGTTTTTCAACAGCGCTAACTGAGCACCTACTATGTGCTGTGCACTACACTAGGCAACGAGAATGCAAAGCTATCCCAATGCCCCTGTCCTGAGTACTTCCTCCATGAGCAGACAAATCTGAGCAGCATGGGCAGTGACAGAGACCGGAGCAGCATACTACGGGGGGAGGTTGGGGGAGGGGGGACTGGGATGCCTGGGCACATAAGGGATAGTTTCACATGGAGAAGTGTGTGCTGGATCCATGTCACCCTGTGGGATGCTGTGCCAGGCTGAAGAGAGGTTGAGCAGAGAAGGCAAGTTACAGGTAGAGTGGTGCTAGATAGGTCAGCTACGTGTTATTTTCTAACTTGAGATAAACTTACATTTTTTTTTTTATGTGTTTCTGCCAGAGATTATTTTTATTCTGTGGAAAGCTGGGGAGGGGGCATAAATTTATATTCTTCACTCCTCGGGAACTAATGTTTCTAGGGTGTTCACATAATAAACTTTAAATATGTGGTATCATTCAAGAAACTTGATGTAAAACAGCTTTGCAAGAAAGGTAGTGTCATGACCAGGGCGACACATTCTGAGAGGGCCAGAGCCCCACCAAGAGCTGCCTGACTCCTCCCCCTTCCGGTTCCAAGGAAAGGTTTGCCATCTGTAAAAGGAACATGGGCCACGGGAGAAGCAGAAGTAGCAATGTCAAGTCTGTGTGCAAGACGGCAGTAGAAGCATTGACATAGTAAAATAGTATATCCTCGAGACCTCTTTGGAAGGCAGTGAGCAGGGGGACCAACGGAATAAGGGGGGGACAACAGGAGAAGGGAAAGACAGATAGGTGAGGAAAAAAAAAAATTCCTTTCCTTAATGCTATACAAGTAAGAATCTCAACTTGCATTTTTTTCTAATAATGAACTAATGATTGAATAATCAATAAGGGTGGAGCCGATGCCCTAATGTGGTAAGCAAGCGGCTCTGCCACCGAGCCACATCTCCAACTGTGTTTTTGTTTTTAAACAGGAAATAATCAGTGTAAGGAAGATCTTTACCTTTATTTAGAACAGAGAGACAACAGGCACAGTGGTACAATTAATCCCTGGACTTAGGAGGTTGAGGCAGGAGGATAGCGAGTTTGAGTTTATACTGATTACAAAGTTCAAAGCCAACTTTGTCTCAAGAAGCCAGGGGATGGGTATTTAACACAGTGGTTGAGGGCTTGCCTGACAGTTCATTCTCTGACAGCACTGAAACCCCTTACCCTCAACGATGATGGCTACTTTCAATTGTTAACATGATCTAGAATTGTGAAGGAGACACATTTCTGGGCATGCCTCATTTCCAGAGAGATCTGACTGAGGAAGGAGGAGCCACCTTGACAGTGAGTAGCATTCCCCCATGGCCTAGGGTCCTGGATGGAGCACAAGGAGAAAAGGAGAAAGCAAAAGGGGCTCCAGCACTCATAGCTCTTGCCTCCCAGCTACGGACACAATGTGGACACCATGCGGACACCATGCCTTCCTGCTTCCCGCTTCCTGCTTCCCTATCCCGATGGCCTCTCCCCTCACAGTACAAGCCAAATCAAGTGCTTCTTTTCTTACACACTTTCCTTGGGTATGTGTTCACAGAAATGAAGGGAAAAAAAAAAGTAACTAACATGCACTCCCAACAGAAACACAAAACCACCACAAAGCAAGCTGGAGAGATGGCTCAGAAATTAAGAGAGATTTCTGCTCTCTCAGAAGACCACGGTTCAGTTTCCAGAGCCTACATGGATAGCTCACATTTACCTGTGTCTTCATCACCAGGGCATCCAACATGCATAGGTGTATGTAAACTCATTCATAAAAGTAAACAATGAAATTTAAAAGAAGCAGCAAATACTCTGAGACGTAAAAGTATTGCGCATACCTACAGGAATTTTCACTTGGAAATATTTTCTACTTGAGCCTCTCAGTAGAGTACTTTATTAGTCATCATGCATTTTGATGAACATTAGGAACTACTGATAGTTATCTGGAAAGAAGCTGAATTTTACTATTCCTCAGGTTTCCGCTATGCTTGCATTCATTTGCATGTATAAATGGTTATGTCACTATTATATAACGCATACAAATGTAACATCTTTTAAAAACTTCTATTCAAAGTTTTTTTTTTTTTTTTTTTTTAATTCTGACTACTCAGTTTCGCAATTTAAAAGATGCAAATAGCATTTGCTCTGTATATGTTCTCATCAGCCACCAGATGGCACAAGGTGTGAGCATTCTATTCTGACACGGTCACTGCACAGAACTTGGCCTATAAACTCAAAATAATGTATTTTGAAGTGTTCTAGCACTCAAGCAGCCCAGTTATTTTAGCCATGTATAGAAGTGAGTGACTAAGTTGAAATTGACGTGGTCCTCATTTTCCTCAATCTTGGGCTTCTGTGAGATGTTGGTACTACATAATGAACCCATGAGCAAACAAGTAAAACAAAACAGTTCTGTTACAGGAAATAGGAAAGGAGGTCATGTCAAAGCAATGACCATCTTAGAGTCTGAGTAAGTTTTTCAACTGCAAAAGAAACTTGAAACATGCCTTCAAGGGGGAAAAAAAAAACACAAACAGGTTGGTACTCCTTCAAATTCAGCTTAATACGTTTTTTTTTCCTCCCTATAATTTATGCTGAAAGCAGAAAAGTAATACAAAAAAAATTTCTGCACTTTGGCTCAAATAAAAATTGTTGCTAAACTTGTGGGGGGAATGGATTAAAAAAAAAAACTATTAGACTTTACTCAAATTCATAATGTAGTGCACTGTTTAATGATCATGTATTCCTGTGAGAAAAGCACAGCACACTGACTGCTGACAGTGGGCTAAAATGAGAGGGAGAAGTGTTTACTCTGGTCTGAGTAGGTTATAATTGAATTTTAAAAAATCATTCTAAAACCCATCACTTTGTCCATTAAACACGCAGCTATTTCATTGGCTGTACATGTACTGCGTGTGCATACACGCCTGCGTGTTCACATGTGTGGGATTGCAAGGAGGCTGGCGGTTGATGTGTCATGTCCTTCTTGATTGTCCCACTAAGGTAGGGTCCCTCGCTTATCCTGGAGCTCTCGGAATTGGTTAGTAGGGAAAGTATGCTGGCGTGGCAGGCTCCTTCTGAGCACAGGGCTGACGGGAGGCCACCAGGCTAACCTGGCATTTACACCATAAGTGCTTTCTTCCTAGATTTTCCTCCATTAAAAATTCAAATGACACAATAATAAAGATTATACCTATAATCTTTATATATACATATGTATATATGTATTCTTTATATGTATATATCTGTATGTGTAGGTATAGATATATATATATACATATTTATGCATGTATATGCATATACATTGTATACATACGTATGGTTCCTGAATGAGAAATCTTTGGGGAAACCAAGTTGCAGGTATGAAAAAGATGAAAAGGTAGCTGGTGATAACTAATTTGGAAGAGGGCTGGCTGGGCTCCTCACTATGGGCTCACGCCCTATCTCCTTATTTGCCAGCTTTCCCTCCCTGAGTTCCTGTGAAAGGAAATTAGGCTTTCTTATTATTGTTCTCATGATGAGGAAAGGCATAGGCTGCTATTGCCAGGGCTTCTGCTAACGGCTCAGGAGACAGTAGAGAGCAGAGTCACTCAAGGTCAAAGCCATCATGCATTCAAGGCATTTGGGATGTCTTACTTTGATCCCCATCGCTGACGATACTGTAGTCCCTCATTCGTCCAGTTTTGATACTGTGCCATGAAATTTGGATCTCCAACAACTGAAAGAAAATGATTTAAAAAAGAAGTATTCATAAGCACTCTTTAATATAGTTCAGAGTTGAGAGTAACTCACTTCTGATTAACTTGATATGTGGCAACTGTGTAGTTCATGTTACAATGCTCAGGGACTTTGCAAATATTTTCTTTTTATTGGAACTGTGTAATACTCAATATTGTTTGAAATAAGTAGACTGTGATTTGGAAATTGTTTTCGTTATAATGACATTTGTTTATATATCATTTATGCAGTTAAATAAAATTTATGGGAGACCATTGTTTTAGACCAAAGTCTCTGTTCCTCTTCTCCTTCTGAAGACTGAGTTTGTAGTTGAACCACTAAATTGGCAAGATGCTATTGATGTTATCTGGAGTCTCTAACATATCAATGGTTTACCTTTTCTTTGTAATGCAATGATACTTGCTTTGATAGAAAATACTTGTTTTTTTTTCTTCTGTTAAATTACATGATTTTTACCAGCAACATTTCTCTACACTCTAACTTTTTTCTTCCTTAGATCCACATGAGCATACACAACCATGCTGTCTTCCACATCTCACTAGACTCTTTGTGCTGGTATCTGAGGAAAATATCCTTTCCATTAAAGAAGCAGATCTTGGCTCTCTAGAGTTCTTTGTGAAGAATTGTTTTTCCTTTAGGAATTATTATAAGTAACATTACTGGATTTTTTTTTCTTAAGAGACAGGGTTTCTCTTTTTCTGTATATCTCTTGCTGTCTTGGAACCCACTCCATAGTTCAGGCTGGCCTCAGATTCACAGAGATCCATTTGCCTTTGTCTTCCAAGCACTGAGATTAAAGATGTGTGCCACCCAGCTTGAAATTCTTACTATAGGCTCATGTATACAGAGAAGTTATGGGGGGTGGGTACCCTTAGATCTCCCAGACAAACAGACTAGAAATGTTCAAGACTGTCTCCTTATCAACCATCTTCAACTTACATGGACAGGATTAAACATTTTGCTAAGGTTTTATTTTCCTTTTATTTTTATTTTACTTTTGAAATGTTCTTTCCTGCATTATATATGTGAACCCGTCTCTGCCTTATATATGACAAACCCGGAATGAGCAGGTCACCTCTTCCAAGAAGTCCATTCATGTTCTATCGACTCTGGCTTCACTAGTTTGATCTCAGAGATGACAACCCCATAGTTCTTTTTACAGACTTTTAACACCTCATATTTTACCTGTATGCTTTGTTGTTGTTTGGGTTTTTGCTTGTTGGTTTTGTTTCTTTGTTTTGTTCATCTGTCTACTACCCCCTGCCTGTAGACTCCTTAGAAAGCTTACCCACAATATGTATCTTCTTTTCTCCAAGACACAGTCAAATGTGTGCATATACATGCTCAGTGAGTGAACTAGAGAAAAACCACAAAGAATGAGGACAGGGAAGAGACAGAGGAGGAGGAGAGGAGTCATGAAATTTTCACCTATGGTCTAGAGAGTAAAATTCCTGCCTCAGGGCTCTTGCTTGTGGGATGGTTTTGTAAGCCATGGCAGAAAAGCATCCCCTTCATGGCTTTCATCGCGTCATTCTTTCTTTTCCATAATGTAATTCTTTCTCTTGAAAATTACAGTGTTGCTTCCATTCTGGGATTTGTTTGTTTTTACAGCAGTGGGGATAGAACCCAGGAACTTTTGCCTGCCTACTCTTTTTTTTTTTTTTCTCTCATAAGGAGGCATGAAAGGCAGGGGAATTGTGTGTGTGTGTGGGGGGGGGGGGGGGGGGGGGGGGGGCAGGGGGGGGTGATGAGAAGAGAGAAATACCCGTCTCCTTGGAATCCAGTTGAAGCCCTTTGCCAGAAGGAAACCAAGAATGCACAATTAACAACTGCTTAAGGCCTTTCTCCCTTCCCAGCTGTAAACCTGTAATTTTCTGGCAATCTCAGCAGAAGCCCTGTTTGCAGGGAAAGGACACATGCACACTACACTTCGGGGAGACTCTGGTTTCCCTTTATTAGATTATCATTCCATCCAATGTGCCTCCTGACCCACTTTACAATCTCACTTATCAAATGAGAACCAAAGGGGGCCGGGTTCTCAGAGCAACCTTTGGAGATGTAACTTGAGAGGCACCAATATATGGATGGTACGGAGACAATTAATGGCCACTCTCCTCTGAGAAGCCCGTGCCTTATCCTATTGTTCCTACTTTCTCTTAAGAAACATATAACACGCTTGGGGTGTGCCTTTCTTTCTGAATGCCCGTCTCTTAGCTCGCATGCTTAAATCTGCTAAATATCTTTAACAGACTTTCCAACTCTGCCTCATCTTTGGCATTGAAGCCAGGAACCCTGGTTTGGCCTGAGTTAGGTCTCTGAACATGGAAAGAAATTCCAGTTGTTGTGTGTCAGTTTGTCCTCCCACCGCTTGTCCTATAAATGCAGAAGTTGACATAAAAGTTGCCCATCTTCTCTGCCAGGACTGTCAAATCCAGAAAACACGGTACCAGCTTGGACTGCGTGTGTGTGTGTGTGTGTGTGTGTGTGTGTGTGTGTGTATGTGTGTGTGTGTTTACATATATACTATCTCCTGTAACCACAGAGCACCTAAAAGTGGGGAGAACACTCTTTGCTCATTAATAGGAATGAAAGAAGGCATTCGATTAGGTAAGCCGCCCACTTGAATTTGCTTACCTGTACGTTGCGAAACTAGCATGGGACTAAGGAGTTGCTGACTTCTGACACCATGCTGTTCCCACCTGTGGCTGCACGTTATAGTCACCTTTACAGTCACTGGGGGAGTTTTCAAAAAACTACCACTACCTAGTCCTGCTGCCAACCCTGATGGAATTGGTCTGGGTGTGCCCTTTCTGTTGGAATTTTTACAAGCTCCTCAGGTGGCTCTAATGAGCAGTTGTGGCGGAGAGGCGCGGCTCTGGAAGGAGGCACATTGCCTCTCGGATGGAAGGAAGGGCCTTTGGAAGACGCAAAGAATGAAAGTCTCCCGGGGTGAAAGCAGGCACCCCTCTGAGGCCGGAGGCTGTTTGGTTTGCCTGCTGACAGCAAACAAGCACCAGGAAGCCTCCGCTCAGGGCAGCTCAGCATGCTGCGCTCGGGAATTCTTTTCCTGGAACGTAAGCATTTCCGTATGGGGATCATATTCTGTCGTTAAAGAGCTGTTCCTACAACCATATGCATGGGTTTTCTCTCTGCCAAACCCTTTATTTGACATTTTATAGTGATGGGTCATTTTACAGTAGGGGTCACTGGTACATTTCTCTTTATGATTTCCTATGATTGTGAACGAAAATGACACTGTGTTTCAGAAATTCTGCTTGTCCTTCGGCGTCTGAACGTAATCCTCACACTATGCTGTGATAATATGCTGCCATAGGATAAAGGCAGAAGAGTATCATGGGAGGGAAAAGTAGAGCCAGAGGCCTGGGCCAAGTTTCTGGACCACAAGGCTGATAACTGAGGATAGGCTTCCGTCCTTAGCTCTGCACGCTAAACACATGCTAAGCACCGAACCTCTGGAATGCACGTGATTGCTCTCGTTTTATAGACATGGCAACTGGGCCAAGGAGAGCGTCACACAGCTAGCAAATAATAGCAAAGATAAGCCATGGGAACTTGGCTCTAGAATTTACCTTCTTTATTGATATGTGGTATTTTCTCCTACGTAGATGACCTTAGATAAATTTACCTGGTTTTGCCTAGTCTTATTTTCTCACCTGAATAAAAGGGGTTAGAATAGTATCTGTCCCTTGGACAGATGTATGACTGTTTGTGACATATACTAAGATGTTCAGTAAATAAATACTGGCTGAATAAATAAAGGAGTGATGAGCTGGGGTGGTTAAAAGCGTAATATACATAGACACACTCTAAAGACCGTATCGTGAAAGGACACACTCATGACTCTTATGGCATTGATGTCTAGATGAAGCTTTGTGGCTCAAAAATATAAAAAAATGTTAATACCCAAATCAAAATACAACCACTTCCTACTCATAAAATATAAACCTCTTAAAATATGAATGGATTTTAATAATCTCAGCATATCGATAAGAATATAAATGTATAAATGAAGTTATAAGAGGGCTCCTTTGTATTTCCGAGTCACTGAAGAAGTATTCTACAATCTAAAAGCTTTATCTTCATTACTGCCAGGAAATTCAGCCATTAAAGAAGAGAGTGTTGGCGCTCGTCCAGCTGGACTATCAAAAGGCAGCATGGCCAGCAGCGTATGTCAGGTTTACATTTCCTTTTTTAAATTAGGTGCTGGTTATTTTTGAGGGAAGGCTCTTGGGACATTTTTTTATAACAATTCTATGGGAAGAGGAGGCGGTGGGATTGTGAAAACTGCCACTCAGTGTTAGACTCAAAGTCTCAGGAATACTTCTGGGCTACAGATAACCATTCCCAGGCTCTGGCTTTCCCAGAGGATGAGTAACAGACCGGGCTAGTGACAGACAGATGTAGAAACAACCAAACTCAACACACTGGAGCCAAACACTTTTGAGGGAGAAACCATTATCAGGGAATCACCATCATTTTCTTCCATTTTAAAATCACTTATTATTATTATTATTCTTAAGTGGCAACCAAGTTTTGGCATATGGTTGTACCTTTTGCCTAGGGGTTAGGTTTCTATGGACCTATGTCCATATGTTCTATGTTACTGCAAATTTCTGGTTTTTTTTTTGTTTTGTTTTGTTTTGTTTTTTTTGGACTGGAGAAATTTGCCTCTTACTCCCTGGAGTTAATATCTCTCAATGCCAGCTTTTGACAATAAATATTTATTGTCCCCAAATCCATCTGTGCTCTCCATACTCCACACACAGCAGGTTCTTGAAATGAACTGATTGGTTGGTTATAGGCTCATGTGGCCTCCAAACTTTGAAAGTAAACACCCATGATACTCTAACATCAGAAATATAAATTTTCTGAACTGACGGCGTTGCTAAAATCTGTGCATCATAATGCACTTTGGATGAGCTTTTCCAACCACTCTTGTGTGAGTGAGGATGATAACATATAATCATAATGTAATCAATAAACAACTTCCTGAAAGCGCAGTGATTTCCTAAACATTATCTATCTATCTTGGTTTTGTATGTGTTAAGCTTAGTAGTACTTTTACTTTAGCTTATGCCAAAAAGAAAAGAAAAGAAAAAAACAAAAGCTTTTTCTATAGTTAGAAAACTATTACGATGAGATGATGAACAATGAAACCCAAATTAAAGCAGTGACCGTAAGGGTGGAGGTGGGTAGGAGCATTATAATGTTGGAAGAGATAAATCAAGAATACAAAGAAGAAAGATTCAGAGGCATAGGATTATTTTAGGAATTCTTAGGCTGAAGAAAATGCAAAAATAGTGAGCTACCAGTACCCAACACGGAGAAGGAAGAAAGGACAGGTTTGGGAGTGTGAGGGTAAACTGGGTTCAGGATATCCTCAGTTGTGTGCCTGTACTCTATGTAGGTGAGGCTCAGGACATGGCTGCAGATGAGGGTCTGGCTACAGTGGGAGAGGCCTTTCAGAGAGATTGGGGGAAGGGTGGAAAAAGGGTCATCACTGAGGAAAGAGGCAGAGAATACTTAGGAAGGAAGCAGAAAACTCAAGGGTGCAACAGCTAAGAAAGAAAAGGATGGCGGCTTGCTGCAGCAACGCCAGTGGCAGCACCTGGAGGAACGAGACTGCACAGGGTTGCAAGAAAATGGCAGACACGGACCTGGGGGAAGTCGCCAGTGTTGGCGCATGGGCAGCCTGCTTCTGACACATGTCATCATGTGCTGTCTGCCCGCCAGGGGTGTGGCAGATGCACCTGGCAGAGCGGTTCAGTTGCCCACGAGCTATCAGAGGACCAACCCGCCACCTCGTCTCTCTCCTCTCTTGCTGTTTCTCTTTTCTCTGTTGGGGCGCCCCGCTCCGCCTATCTCTGTCTTTCTATCTCTCTGCCCTCATGCCTCACTCAGGCCCTACCTCTCTTCTGCTTCCCTTCCCCTGAATAAACTCTTTCATAAGATCTATTGTGTGCATCATTTTAAAATGAAAACAATAAGGCCAACCCGAAGAAAGCTGAGACACAGGAGAACACCACTGAACAGAAAAAAGAGGAGTGAAATTTCCTAAAAGCCTAGGAGGATTTCCCCACCCCACCCCGTCATCTCCAAGACCTCCTCGTGATGTGGAGAAAGAGCTACCTGCAAGATGGATGCGAGCCACAGGCTGCACTGTGAACCCGGGCACTCCGCCCGGATGCCACCCGCCTGCCAGTCTCTGAACAGGGATCTCCGCCCTCAGCCCCCATCAGGCTGTCAAATTTCACCAGTTTGCTCTGGGATATTATAGAAAATTAGTTGTATGACTGATGAAAATAAAACTTCGTGGCATGGGAAAAAAAACTGACAAAAGAAAGAAAAGAAAGAAAGAGAGAGAGAGAGAGAGAGAGAGAGAAAGAAAGAAAGAAAGAAAGAAAGAAAGAAAGAAAGAAAGAGAGAGAGAGACTATAAAAAGTCATCACAGCCTCTGGGATCTGCAGTCCCTTCTAATTTCACACTGCCAGTGCTGCTTTGGCAGGATGGCTGGGGCAAAGCTACATTTTCACTTAAGCGTGTGGAGACTGGATAGCCTACTTTGAGACAAATAATGACACATACTCTGAAAGTTCTGTTAAGTGGAACCAGTTGCTCAGCTATTTCATTCTGTCCTTGTGGCCCCAGACAATGTTTTCTTACATCGATGGAACGGAACAGCCCCCAGCTCTCATGTTTTCTGGCTGCTTTTGCTCTCCACCCGGGCTGTGGCTCTGGGGATGACTGTGTTTGAAACGGAAAGAGTCCACCCTTCTGTGAACCCTTCTTTCTGGGGTGAAGGCAGTTAAGTAAACCTTATACGATTAAGAACTTCACCAATTGCCTACCCTTACTTCTGGCTTTTAAACAGACTTCAGGTCAGGGCCCTGCATAAAAGAGGAACTAAATTAATAGTTGCTGAATGAATATGGCACAGAGAGCTAACTGAACAGTTTACTACTCTTGCACAGCAGATATGTGTCCATTAGTCTTGAGACGATAGTAAGACAAACTGAGAATAATCAACAGATCAAAAGACATTAAAAGGACACGGAATAAGGCAAGATCAACTTACATGGATTTTTGGAGTATTCTGCGGCTTTTGATGTGGCTACCTCAGACCATTTCTTGTAGTAATCACTAAATGCGATTTTTTTAATTCTGAAAGTATAAACAAAAGACCATATATAATTCGTAAATTTGTCCTTAAAGTTGTCTGATCAGAGCACATGATTCAGCTAATACCATATCAAACATGAACTGATAAACATTATGACCTCTTTTTCTTTTTCTTTTCTTTTTTTCCCTTTCCCCTTCTTTTTCATTCATCCAGAAATGTGTGTCCCTGGCAGACCTTGATCTCTGTGTAGTCCAGGTTGACCTGAAACTCACGGTCCTCCTGCTTCAATCTCCTGTGTGCTGGAATTACAGGCATGCACCACCATGCCAGGCTTTGGACACACATCTCTAAGAATCACACATTTGATACGTGAATCAAACACATTAATTTCACCACTGACAAGTATAGATCACAGGAAAGACAAGCTATCTAATTCATTTTTCAGTAACAGAGTAGATTTCCGCCAATGTACACATTATCTATACTGTGAAAACAAACTGTAGCTGTAAGACATCTACCTTTCAAGCCAATATTTAAGGGACTTTAAGGGAAGCATTGTATTTGTACTTATTTTTTTATTCTACAATAAACTTTTCTTAAATGTCATATCAAATATATTATGATTGTTCTCATTTCCTTTTCATAGGGAGAGTAAAAGCCCAAGGAAAGAGATTTCGTCTTTACACAGCATCTAGCCATTGCTGAGATGGAAAAACTCCTCCCTTTCTCATCCTCCCACTGCACCCTTCCCTCTGTGTTGGTGTCATTGGGCTCTAACAGGGGCACAAAGGCTATTGGAAAGCAGTAAATGGCAACTGTCGAGCACTTTAAATAACCGCATCGCTATGTTTTTCTTATTCTGAATTTGTTGAACACAGCAATTTGCAGCTCTGTAAATAAAGCATCACTCAGAGATAATGTTCAGCCATGTGAAAGCATCAGCTAATGGGTGCAGGTAGAGGCTTAAGCATCAGGTGTAATATCCCTTATGTCTGTTTTCCAGTTTAGCGTCTCAGTTCTTTGGAAGCAGAAACACATTTTCAGTTAAAACAAATAATATTAGTATTAATTTTTTACGGGTCAACTGTTAAGTCCCTTAAGGTAAATATTTGATTCAATGCTGAAATTAATGGAGCAATATTTAAATGGATCAGTGCATTCATTTATTTAGCAGTTCAGGACACCTAATTTTAAGACTAACATTTTTCAAATGTTATTACTTTTCCAATTATACATAAGTAGAACTCTAAACCTTGGTGAAGATAAATTAACCATTACTATTATTGCTTCCAGGCTGGCCTGCCAAGATTCACACTACCAAACGATATGCTAAAGGAACGTGAATTTGCCCCTGAAATGTATCAGCAATTTGCAGCAAGGGTAACAAAATGAAAGGCTGCATGAAAATCTTGAGATCAATTTGCCATCACAGTTCATTTAACAGACAACAATGACCCAAGAGGAAGGAAACTGTCAACACACTGTCATGAAAAAAAATACATGTACCATCTTTAGGCACAATCGTCTCCATTGTCTTTTGTCTGTTGGAGGATGACCCATGACCCTCTGCCTTCCCAGGGGTGTCCTGTTTGGTTTCAAATTGTTAGCCTCAGGGGATTTCTTTTCTTTCTTCCAGAGTAATTAAAAATATTACCCAAAAAGGTGTAACTGTGGTTAGTTTGAACGCACAAAGAAGAATATCTTAAATATTTGCCTTTCCAATTTGATAAGGGAAACAGTACCTTAAAAGAACAATAACGATAATAGTAAACAATAATGTTTACTATTATTCAGGAAGACTATGACACTAGCAAGGAGATAAATGGAATAAAAATGTGTTGGTGGTTCCCACCAATACCAAGAACATACTGACTATTGTTTCTGACAATGAAAAAGGAAACATATATTTGTAAGTTTATACTGGACACAAGAGCTGATTTTTTTTTTTTCTGTTGAAATCAGACCTATTCCCTGAGCAAGTGAATAGAGCAGCTTTCTCTATTCCGTAATAGGGTGCTGCATGCTTCAACATTTGGATCATACGATACATTGACCATACTTCTTTAGAAGTGGCAATAAACAAAAGAATTTAGAGGAAGGTGATAATAAAACTTTTGTTTGGAGGTCATCAGGGAGTCATTTGGAGTGCGTGTCGGTAGAAACGAAGGAGGCACCATAGGCTCAGGGAACGGCCTCAGCCATATTTGGGGGTGAGTATGGTGTGTGAGCATATGAACACAGAGGATCTTGAAGGAAGGGAAGAGAGGCATGAGGCAGTTGACTTCTATGGACAGTTTAGATTTAGAGCAGCTGGATGCCGTTCAAACAAGGGAAGCTTGGTGGGGCGGGATCTTTGTGTGGAGGCAGAGGGTGGTTGAGATTGGTTGACAGCCTTGGTCCATCAGGCTTGAGAGAGGATTCAATACAGGAATGTCAAAAAGAGGCTGGGGCTCGAGCAAAGGTTTCCTTGGGGGTCTCATGTGGGGTGAGTTTCATAAGGAAGGCTAACCGTAGGATCAGTCAGGAAACTAAGGAATGGAGGCGGGAGCTACCTCACAGTTAGCAGGGGTGGGGAGCAAAGGTGAGGAGCAGGCCCAGGCGAAGCTAATGTGATGCTGAAGAAAGAGCTGGTTGCCTACCTGACACATGAGAGGTGAAAGAATGTGGGGGTCAAATCCTTTTCTGAAGTAGCTTTCTTGTAATAGAAAACATTAGGCGGGACCAAAGTAAAATATGAGTGTAATTTTAGATGTGGCCTAAGGTGACGATATGACAGATGAGAGAAAATGACCTTTCGGGATCTGACGGTGAGCTTGGGAATGGAAAAAGAAAGATTGACAGGTGAAACTATGAAGGAAAACAAACCCCGAAACACTGTTTGGAAGAGGAAGAGCAGACACCAGCTTGAAGAAAGCCAGTGATGGGAAAAGGCAGGCGCATTGCCTGGAAGGAGAAAAAAAACAGTGATGCTCTTTTAGGGAAGCAATGCGCAGCTGGAACTTTGTCTGGTGAAACTTCTCCTACGCTACCAAACTAGTTCTTAGCATCATGGTGAAGACCGAGGGGTCTGGAATCAGTGGGGTGAACCATCTGGCCTTGTTACTTCTTGACTGTGTGATGGGATGGGGGTGAGTTATGTAACCTTTCTACGCTTGTTTCCTCATTGCTAAGAGAAGAGGAAACCTTTCTCAAGAGGTTGCCATGGGTATCCAGTGAAATCGTGCATGAAGAGAGCCAAGTTTAGCGCTTCATCAGCACTCAGAGTCATGGTCTCCCCAGTCGGTTTCCCAGAGTATCTCATTAATTCTCACACCCTGCTAACTGCTTTCCTACCTTCTACTCTTCATGAAACACCTCTGCTGCAAGGTGACATGTGTCATCTAATTCTAGAGGGTCAAGTCTCAACACTTTCAAACTAAACCCTTCATCAGCTGGCCGTGCCCAGCCCTTCCTTCTCCCAGGGTCTCTTTCTTCTCGTCAGAGCCCCTATCTCTTGGGAGTTCCTGTGAATCTTGAACATCCTGTAATACTGGACTTCTGTTTCTGTGCAACTTTTTCTACCTTAGAGATCCTCGCCCCGCTTCTTTTCATTTCATACTCATCAAAGCCTGGGTCCAGTCTAACAATTGTATATGACATTTATTTCAGGGATAGGAACATGAATTGCAAAGGTTAAACCAGGACTGGAGAGGTGGCTCTATGGGCAAGGACACTCGCCACATAAGCCTGACTGTTGGGAGCCGTGCAGGAGGAACAGCAAATGGTGCTAGAAGTCATGGAATGTGGCCCACCATTTACGGAGCCATGATGAGTGTGTCTCAGCCTGGCACAGCCCTGAGAACTATGTGTCCCGAGGACTTGAAGCTGTTATGGAGCACAGCTCTGCTTGTTATCCTGGTGGTCCCCATAATCCTCCTAATATATGAATTGTGTGAAGACTCTAAGAGGGCTTCCAGCCTCTGACTGGGCACTATATCTGAACTTACAAATAACAACGCTTGATCTCATTCAGGCATCGCTGCTGGAGCAGATTAATGATTTAACCATCACCCTTGAAGAGAACCTACAGATGTGGATTGTTAGCAACGACCACTACCCTTAGAGAGAATTTGGAAAAATAGATCGTTTAGCAGGGTTAAGAAGAAATGTTTTTTTCGCCAGTGCCTCTGATGTGGAAAATCTTAGGAAAAAACAGACTGTTTATCAAGGTTAAATAAAGATGCTTTTGCTAGGGGCTCTGCAGTAAAAAATCGTAGAGAACAATTTAAAGTTCAGAAAAGTATGCTCTTAATAGTAAAGCCAGGGACATTTTAAGGTTGGTGAACAGAAACAATAACCCAACATAGCACTGGGCTGATGACCAAAGACAATTGACTTCCTTATACTTGTTTTCGCCCTTATCCTCCTGATATGATCGAATGAAAATTATTAATGAGTAGATGCACACCTTAAAGAGTTAAAGTAGAGATGGCTGATTTGTTTTTTTGTATAAAAGTTTAGGTTTGTGATTCTTTTAAGGCTTGTATAAGATTACTTTTGAAGATAATTGATTCTTTCTTTGTAACTGCAAATTGCAGCCTGCTGTGGGAAAAAGATGAAAAGTATGGTTTGGAACTCGCTCTTCAGAGTATGTCCCATCCATCATGATACGCTTTGCCACTACCAGTGGAAAGCCAACACTAGGAGCCAACGGCCCTAGCCAGCACTTACCATGGTAGGTGTAAGCCCACACCAGGGAGCGACCAGTCCTAGCTGACGTCAGCAATTTAATTCTGGCCCCTCAGTTCGCCAGTATCGGTGGGAGCCACGGTTGGTAACCTACAGTTCCGGCCCTGGAAAATTACCCTGGGAAAGTCTGCCGGGTCACAGCCAGGCAACAGCCAGATCTATGCCCCACGTCAGTTTACCCTATTGGTGTTCAAGCAGGTCTTGAACAGGACCCAAGTTCAGTTCCCAGGACCCACGTGGAAGTTGGGCATGGCTATCCGCACCTGCAGTCCCAACATGGCTGCAAGCATAAGACAGTAAAATGGCTGGGGCTTGCAGGCTAGCCAGCCTAGCCAGAAAAGTGGCTGGTTCCGTGAGCGACCTTGTCTGAAGCTCACAAGACAGAGAGCAATAGAGCAATCCACTACCCAGTGTTCAATTCACCTAATGTCTTCCTCTTGGTCTCCATGTCAGTGTGGATACACTCAAGCACACATATGTGCACACACACACACATACACATGCGGGCACATATCAACACGAGCACTCATGCATGCACGCCAGACTGCATCAGGGCATGCAGGCTCATGGCGACACTCTAGTATGACACATGTTGCTATCTTAGGTCAGCCCAGTTTGTTCCTCCTGTGCGCCTTGCTATTGTTGCCCTTGTAGGCAAGTGTCAGAAGCAGCTTCTCAGGTTCCGGGGGGAAGCCGTCCTTTTAAAAGTAGGTTAAATACTTTGGGAACGATCAACATGGCGTAATAATATGGCATCTTTCAAGCAACAAGTACTGGACGTTTCTCCTTACGTCTTTTACATTTAATCTCAGAAATACTTTGAAGATTTCGGTACAGGTGGCACACGCCTTTTGCTACGTTGTGACACTATCACAGTGACTCGGAGAGCTTCTCTTGCTGGTGGCACACCTCCGTAACCTCAGTGTTAGGGAGGCTGAGACCAGAGGATGGTGAGTTGCCTTGAAGACATTCTTTTTCTATTTGATTGGTTGTGTGTATATGGAAATACAGTTTATTTTAAAATAGTCTTCTTGTCCTTAGAGTCTTTGCTATATTCCCTTACCTTTCTATCCTTACTTGGCTTTAACTATGGACAGAATCATGTCATTCTTCTCGTCAGAGCCCCCATCTCTTGGGAGTTCCTGTGAATCTTGAACATCCTGTTACTTGTAGAAGTAACCTCTCCCTCCCCATCGTTTTGCTCTCTGCAGTTTTAGTTACCCATGTTAAATGGAATTTTCCATCAAACAACAATATTTCAGAAGTTTTAAATTGCTCGCAGTTTAAGCAGTCCGGAGAGTCTTGTGCTGTTTCCTCTGTCACTTGGAAGGAGACTTAGCTTCTTGTCCAAGTGTATCCACGCTCAATGTACTCCTTGCCCAACAGTCAACAAGTAGCCAGTTAGACTATCAGATGGACTGCTGCAGTATTATGTCCCAATGTCTGTAAAACTCATCTCACTTCATCTTTCCACGTAGGCATTTGTCAGCTCACGTCATGACAGGGAGGGTGAGTGTGGGGCGGTAAAAGAGCTTCAGACACAGAGATACTATACCCGCAGCCCTTTATTGCAGAATGTTGTCATAACTGTTCTGTTTCAGATCACTCGTTCTTTTAGGTTTCTTTATTTTATGCATGCGAATGTTAGCCTGCATACATGTATGTGTACCATATGTGTGCCTGGTGTCTCTAGAAGTCAGAAGAAGCTCTTGTATCCCCTGGAGCTGGAGTTAGAGGGTGGTTGAGAACCACCCTGTGGGTACTGGGAATGGTACCCAGGTCCTCCGGCAAGAGCAACAAATGTTCTAAAGTGCTGAGCCATCTCTCTGTGTGACCGGCTACCACCATGACTTCCCTACCCTCAGACTGTAGGCTGCATAAACCCTTCCCGCCTTCAGCGTTTTGTTATAACAAGAAGACAAGTGACTAATACAGATGTCTGGGGGGAAATACATACGCATTTGGTACTATGTGTAATTTTCGCATCCACTAGGGGTCTTGGAATGAGCTTGCTGCCAGTATACGCCAGCCATATGCTTCCCTCACATCTCCCCCTGCAAAGGCAGGCCTGCTTCCCAGCCCACAGGGGAGCTCCTGCCCTGCCTTGATGGGAGGGGGGCACAGATGGTTCTCGGTGAGTCTGAAGCCAGCCTGGTCTACAGAGCAACTTCCAACAGCCAGGGCTACACAGAGAAATCCTGCCTCAAAACAAACAAAATGACCTCAAGCCTTGTCTCCTCTTAGGAGTGGAGACATGTTCTGCCAAGGAAGCTATTTCTCCTCAATATTGCCTGGGCACCTTAGATGCATGTCTGCCATTGTGCTTATTATTTTGTATCAATGGAATGCAACAGTAAACAGTCACAACTCAACAAGACACCAAATTGCACCTACAAAATATGGGTACAGGAATCAATGACTTAGTTTAAACACACACACACACACACACACACACACACACACACACACACACACACAC